CCGAGTAAAAACTCTGTGACCCTGCAGATGGCTCCCTCCAACAGCCCCGCCGTGTTTCAGCAAGGAAATCTTGCTTTTCCTAGCAAGTCACTTGAGGGCCACGCTGGAATTGGTGATGGATTCCCTTCCCCAGCCCTGGCGCAGGTTTACTCATGGAGTAAGTTTATTCGGTGAATGCAACTTAAATTGACAAGTTCTGGGAAAAACAACTTGACCCTGTTGCACAACAGGAGCAGTCAAATGGCGAGAAGCAGGTTGCTGTGCGGTCAGAAGCCAGCAGAACAGCTCTGATGGATCTTGGTAATTAGTATTTACTGCCAGTCGATTATGCCGCAGGTATTTTAATTAATGGGTGACTGGGAGAAATACAACCACCCGATGAGAGACCTTCAGAGCGATTTATTGTTGTGATTTTTCAAGAACAGATGCCTCTGAGCCCTCCAGTTGGGTGAGTTCAGGGAGCGAACCCCTCCCCTCTATTTTGGCCAGAAGCATTCTTGGGCTGCCCCAATGGCTCAGCTGCGAAGTGGCAGCCTCTTGCCATGGGCAAGGAGGCTCTAAACTCCCAGGGTTTGGCTTGCCCGTGCCTCTGCTGACCCATGCTGTGGCCCAGCTGGAGGGAAGGGGGCTTGAGCAAACCTTTCCAAAGCCTTTCCCGTGAGTTGGGGAAAGGGGGGAGCCCTCCTGGTCTCACCTGTGGTTGCTGGGGGTTCTCCAGGATTCTTCCTGGGTTTCTGTTTGTGTAGCACTGTCCTCACCTCAGGAAACTTGCAGATTGCTCTTCCTACCTGTCTCTTGCCATGCTGCATCCATTGGCACTGGATTTGTTTACAGGGCAGAGGGATATTGGGAGAGAGTAGTGATTGTATTTCAGAACTCTGCTGCTGCTTCCTTGACTTCCACACTTTTCCTGGCAGTTTTGTTGCCTATCCTGGTGCCTCAGGGGAGGGTGGGGCTTCCTCTCTTCCTTTCCTTGCCATTCCCACTGCCTGTCTCCTGCCTGTCCATCCCCACTTGCAGGATGGCGTGATGAGTGGCTCCACGTCTGGCGCTTCCAGGCTACCAGCGGGTTGACGGAAGTTGGGCTGCTGGCGTGGAGGCCTACACCCGGCACAGGAGCACAGCAGGGTTTGCTCCCATCTGACCACGAGCAGTCTGCCCTCTCGAGAGGGAGGATGCTCGATACCTCCTGCTGCTGGTGGGTTTTCAGCTGGAAAGCTGAGGAGCTGTAACTAGCCGAGACTTGGCTGCTTTCGGCACGAGTTACCTTTGGCGAGGCGTGTTAGGCCAAAGGCAAACAGCCTGTGAAAAGCCAGAGGGAAGGAGGGATGGTGTGTGCCGACAGACCTGCGCCCCTCGCTGCCAGAGTGGTACGGTACGGGCTTGGTGTTTGACTGAAGGAAGAGTTGTGTTTCACTGTGATGTAGAAAGTGGAACCTTGGTGCTTTTCACAAAGCAGCTCTGATTTCCAGCTGGCCCCTCGGCTGTCCCCTGAGGAGAGGAGAGTGTATAAAGCCTTGTGCTTGGAGACAGCCCGGGCAAGGGCTGGTGTGCCAGAGTCCCTTCCCGTGCACCTCCAGCAGTCACCCCGTCCGGCGTCGGGGCCTGGAAAACACGCTGGTGCCCGCATCGCTCCCCCTTTCCGTGTCGCTTGCCGCGGGCACGCGAGGAGCCCGGAGGCCGCGCTGCCTGTGTGAATAACCACCTTGTCCTTCGCTTCGTTCCTCGCAGATCACTTGGTGGCCCACGGGCGTATGGCCGAGAAGGAAGCCCGGAGAAAGTTCAAGCAAATCGTGGCTGCTGTCAACTTCTGTCACTGTCGGAATATAGTCCACAGAGATCTGAAGGCAGAAAACCTGCTCCTGGATGCAAACCTTAACATCAAAATAGCAGGTGAGCTAAGAGTTGCGGGGCGGGAGGAAGGCAGCTGCTGTCACAAGTTAATAAATGCAGGCATTGGCTGCTTCCAGGTATTCAGAAAGAAGGAAGCACAGTGCGGCTAAAGGAAGCTTTGGATTTCTGTGTGGCCTGCTGCCCAGAGCTGAAAGGGTCAGGTTGTAGCCGGGAGATTTATGTCTCCCTTCAAGTAGTGCAGAAGGAGAGAAAAGGCTGGTTTGGCTTCGTAGGCAGCGCTGTGGCTGTAGGTACTGCAGTGCTCCAGGACACTGGGTAATGGGCCAGGCTACTCCTGAAAAAATGGACTTTGTTTGGAGCCCTGCTCCCCTTCAGGACTTGTCTGCAGCAGGTCAGACTAGGTGAGAGAGGAGGAGTGGGCAGTATGGAAGGAAGCGGCCCTCCTGGAACCGTTTCACTGCGCTGAGGGAGCCCGAGGATTAGCCCCGGTGTGCTGGCAGTTTGGCTCCCCGCAGGGAGGGAAGCCGAAGGCGCCAGGTGAATGGGCCCTCACGATGCGATCCCAGAGTTCTGTGGGGCGTTTGGCCGGGAACTGCCCTTCCAGGGACGTGCCCCTCGCGCCATTGCTGCGCTGACCGCTCAGGCTGGCGTGTCCGTGAGCCGAGCCTGGGCTGCTGAGCTTGGGGAGGCGCTGCCAAGACTGGGCTTTGTTTAGCTTTGTTGGGATTATGGAGCAACCCATGGAAACAAGAGGGTGAGCGTCTCCGGAAGGGGGGCAGCAGCCAGGGGAGCGGCCGCACTGGGCAGGGAAGTGGGGGCAGGTGGTGGAGCTGGGAGAGGCTGCTTGGGAGGACTCTGAGCGGCGTTTCTGGTGGCTGTTGGCGGCAGGCGTGCGGTGATGATTTGAGGCCATCTTGTGTTCATGGGGTAAAATCCCTCTGTGCTGGGGGGAGGGGGCCTAGCAAATAGAAGTTACAAGCTAACCCAGGTAGAAACTGGGATTTGGCTGGATTCCCTCAAGACACGTCCACGTGAGCGTGCTGACAAGCTCCCAGTGTCT